CCCCCCCCCCCCCCCCCCCCCCCCCCCCCGGTTTTCTGGATGTGAAGCAGCATGCGGCCCGGTGAGAGCTTAGAGGGCTCGCGCTCGGCTCGCGGAAGATGCGTTGATGCAAATCACTTGGCTTGCAGCGGCACGGAACGCTGCCTCGCGCGCCTCTCGCCGCGGGGGAGGACGACGACGAAGATGGGGGTGATGATGATGATGATGAGGAGGAGGATGATGATGGTGATGAGGGGCACGGAGGACGGGAGGATGACGGTGATGCGCTGCTTTCTGTGGACCCTCGTCCTGGGCTCGCTGTCTTCGCGCGCGCAAGGTAAGAGGATGCGACACCCCCTTCCACCACCACCTCTCAAAACTCCATACATGACGCGCGCGCGCGTCCTGCTCAGTTTCACGCGCCCCATCTCGGTTTGGGTGATACTTTTTTTTTTTTTTTCTTCTTCTTCTTAGTGTGTGTGTGTGCGCGCGCGCGAGGGCGTCTGCGAGGTGTCGAGTGGGACTCAAGGTGTGCGCGTGCGTGGATGTGTGTGCGGTGTGTGATGCAGCAGGGGAGCAAAAATTGGCTTACAGGGAGGGTGAAGGCTAAGGAGGAGAGAGGAGGAGGAGGAGGAGGAGGAGGAGAGGGAAAAGAAGAAGAAGAGGAGGCAACAGCCCCCCCCCCCCCCCCCCTCCATCCTTCTCCTCAATACATCCATTGAGCAGGGAGCCAATAAATATTCTTGCGGTAGCTCTTGGGCTGTGGCAGCGAACGTGAGTTGCTTATACCAAAGTGTGTGTGTGAGTGTGTGTGTGTGAGTGTGTGTGAACGTGAGTAGTTTATAGTGATGAGGCCCAAGCCTTACACAGCATTTTATTTCTAAATCTCCACCACCGCTGCCTGTTTGTTCTCTTTTTTTTTTTAAGAGTGTTTCAGTTAAAAGATATAACAGCGTGTTCTCCTATATCCTCTTTTACACACACTTTCTGTCCTTCTCCTCCTTTCATCCCCCCGTCTCTCTCTTTCTTGTCTTACACTCTCATCTTTTAAGTGCAATGAAATGTTAAAAAGCTCCACTTAGCACACTTTTTTTTTTTTCCTGCTTCTGACTTGGTCTGGTTTTCCATTTTTAGTTCACTTTTCTCACAAATTCTCCAGGACTGGTTTTCATTTGGTTGCTTAAAACTCCTCGAGTATGTGTATATATACATATATATATATATATATATATATATATATATATATATATATCAACTTACTTGGTTCTTGTTTGGCACTTTTTGCACATAGGTTCTCTTGTGAAAACTTTTAGGGGAGTGATGTTTAAGGTGCATCCCTGATCTGAGTCTGAGTCCTGGTGCTGTTGAGAAAAACATCTTTAAGTAAAAAGTTTTTTTTTTTTGTGCTTCTTTGGAAAAGTAGGATACAATGCATTATTTTACACCTACTGGGACTGAGGCAAGAAGATTGGGATGCCAGTCTGCTATTTGCTCTTTAGTGCAGTGAAACATTTTCAGTTCAGCCAAATTTCTATATTTGTCGATTATTCTTATTCATTTCCCTTTTCTTTTTTTTTTACATGCTGTTGCAGTGGTTCTTTGGTTACATTAACATCAAATTCATACTTCTCTTTTTAGCCACATTCTTTTCCTATACAGTGATTGCAGCCAGTATAATGTATGTGGTTACAGTTTTTAACAGACTTTTCATGTCTAAATAGAAGTCTACTCACAAGTCCACCCTTTGAAAAGTCATGCTAAACAGACACTGTTTGCTCTGCAACTTGTCCTGATAAAATACCCTTATGTGATGAGGGGTAAGTGAGAATGGGCTGAATAAATGAGCTCAAACACATGCACGAACACGTCCAGGCATTGGTGAGTCATGTGTGACTTTTGCGGTATGGAAACTGAGCAATATTCTTGATTTTTCTAGAAGAAAACAAAAGAGGAAAGAAATGAGCAAAGGATGAATGAGACTAGTTTAAGTGGGAGGAGTCAAGATGCAACAAGGGGTGGAAAACGGGAGAGAATTGGCCCTGTAAGAGTCAGAAAAAGAAAAACACAAGTTAAACCAGGTTTTTACATAAATACACCTCAGGTTCTATGAGTTGTTCTAAAAACCAAGACAGGCAGATTTTTGTCAGACAATATCAGTTAGGATTTAGCCGGCAGAAAGGAAGATGCTGACACTTTAAACTCGAACAAGAAAGCACAGAGAACCATAGGAGCTGTTGAGAACCATTTGTCAATGTAAAGTCTGCATGATCCTCCAGTGCAGAGAGACTGTGTGTAGGCTGACAGAGCAAAAAAAAAAAAAACTATGGATTTCCACAGCAATTAAACAAATCGACACAGGGAACGTTGAATGGAGACACATGGCTGTGCACCGTTACAGAATGGACAATTGGAGGGGCTTTTAAAAAGTTCTGCCTGTTAAACAAATATCACGTTCACACAAAGGAGGGTGTCAACAAAATAGGGCTTATGATTCTGTATGATTTTTTTTTTTCAAGCACAAACACTCAGTTGAAACCAGGGGCGATCCTAGAATATTAACTTTAGGGGTGCTTAGCCCCCAGTGCTGACAATGGCTCTTAGATTGAACAACGTGGAGGCCATTAGCATCAAAAGCATTTGCAATGGGGTGTTGGGGTGGGGTGTTTCACACTGGTGGAGGGGTGGGGGTCTGGGGGTCCTCACCCAGAAAATCCATCCATCCATCCATTATCTTTACCCGCTTATTTCATTTTGGGTCACGGGGGTCGCTGGTGCCCATGTCCAGCAATTACTGTGCGAGGGGCGGGGTACACCCTGGACGGGTCACAAGTCCATCACAGGGCCACATAGAGACAAACGAGACAAACAACCATTCACTCTCTCACTCACACCTAGGGACAATTTAGAGTTACCAGTCAGCCTAACATGCATGTTTTTAGTCTGTGGGAGGAAACCGGAGAACCCGGAGAAAACCCACGCATGCACGGAGAGAACATGCAAACTCCACCCAGAAAGGCCCCTGGACCGGGGTTTGAACCAAGGACCTGCTCGCTGAGAGGCAGCAGCTCTACCAGTTGTGCCACCGTGCTGCCCCCCCCCCAAAAAAGTTAAATAAAATTTATTTTGAATAGAGCAGAAAATTTTGAATATTGTGCGCCGCAATACAGATGTGCTAGCTAATATACTACAGATGTAGCACTCTGCTTCTCTCACGCATGCCCCCCACCCCCTCCCCCAGTTCCTTCGGGTAAGGGGCATTTCACTTTAGAACAAATTGAGGTTGCCAATTGGCCTTTTGCTGACCAGCCTACTAGACTGATTGACAGGTGGCGATGAGGATCTGACTCGTGCCCATAAAAAAAAAAATCTGGTTTTTACTGGTGGGCAGCACGGTGGCGCAACTGGTAGAGCTGCTGCCTCTCAGCGCGCAGGTCCCTGGTTCAAATCCCAGTCTGGGGGCCTTTTCTGGGTGGAGTTTGCATGTTCTCTCCGTGCATGCGTGGGTATTCTCCGGGTACTCCGGTTTCCTCCCACAGACCAAAAACATGTATGTTAGGCTGACTGGTAACTCTAAATTGTCCCTAGGTGTGAGTGAGAGAGTGAATGGTTGTTTGTCTCGTTTGTCTATGTGGCCCTGTGATGGACTTGCGACCCGTCCAGGGTGTACCCCGCCCCTCGCACAGTGATTGCCGGACATGGGCACCGGTGACCCCCCATGGTGCAAAATGGAAGACGCAGGTAAAAGACAATGGATGGATGGATTTTACAGGCCTGTTTAAAAGTTTCATAGTTTATTCCCCACGTATTCCAAATTTCTTCAATATTTTGGTGAATCTACGGTATGAGAACTGAGTTTCCTTTCAAAACCTAATGATAGTTTCTTAATTTTTCAGGGGTGCCGAGTTAAAATTTAGGGCTGCTTAAGCACCCCCCAAAAAGAGGCTAAAATCACCACTGGTTGAAACATATAGGATACATTTTATTACCATTTTCATGGAATAACTGAGTGTTAAATAAATCAAAATTTTCATTCAGCTACTAATAGGCTGGCAAGATTACCAAGTGAGAAACACCTCTGTTGGAAAAGTATAGAGGTCAAATAAATACGAAAATGGATGTGTAAATAAGTGTCCACAGTGTGGTGACATTTTAGGCTTTGCAAATTAAAAGCGGCCAGCAGCCAAAATGCTGCTCAATTTTGGCTGTGGTTGGTAAATTAGTCTTTTCTACCAGCCATTGGCATGCAACCAATCATTGCATGTGCCTTCGTTTTTATTCTAAAACCTACTCTGGATGGTAAAGACATGATGATGTAGCCGGTGACAAGAACAACCATTAATGTCTCAGTTTGCTTGGTGGTTTTGAACAAAGATGTAACATGCTCTTAAGTGGAGCTACCTTTCTCATGATTCAAGGTTTTAATTAGGGAGTCTATGTTCCTCAATGTCTTTGTGCAAGTAAATGAAGTCAAATGAATCTAACAGGTCATTTTAGATGAGAGATGATGTCATGTACTCGACTCAACTGGTGTAGTGTGAGGAATGTTGCTTTTACTGTTAAACTAAGATAAACTTTATTCTTAGATTTTTTTTTTTTCCTTAATATGATATTTGGAAAAATTGCCATACATTAACCCAACGCTTTGTCTCACTTACACCCGTAGCCTTGCACAGCTTCACTCGGCTTCTCTTCTCTTTTCTCTTGCCTTTTTTCAGCTTTCATGTCATCCTCCCTCCTCTCCACCGCCCCGTTCTGCTTATTTCTTCCGTCAGATTTGTCCCGTAGCTCCAGAGACTTAATTTACTCGCCAAACATGCCAAATCACGCATGTGCACACAGACACAAAACAGGTGGTGGTGGTGGGAAGGTGTGCAAGAAAAAAAAACAGAAAAAAACCCCACATTTTTCATTTTCTCTCTATCTCTTCGACGTGAATGTATTCTCTGCCACGTTTAAGCCGTCATACTGAGAATGAGCGCTGCGGTCGACCATTCAACCGACGTTTTAGCGTCCGATTAGCGTGTGAACTGTCCCAGCAGCGCCTGTGCGATACAACCTCATCAACGTTTTACTGACAGTAAATAATTCTTACAGTGGCTTAATCATAGAACTAACATTTATCAATCATCTCGTTCTAATTATCAATTAAACAACCAGGTAATCTGCTGTCGGTCATCATGGGGGTGGGGGATTGTCTCATCTTCTGCTGAAGGCCAGTCTCCAGCATCTCACCACGCAATTAACCTCAAGAGATAAAAAACTGCTCATTTAATTCATTCTGACAAGCCATGGAAGTGTCGCGCTTTGTTCTTGCAACATGGCTGAACTGAAATTTAT